ATCAGCTTCCCACATCCTGTGGCTCTAAATGGACCAGGTACTATCCTTCTTCACCACATCCAGCATAAAAGATGACACAAACACTATTATATTATTTTCATAAGACTATTGTCATATGTTCATTTGTGATCTGGATTAAGTTAGAACTGCTGGGTGCTCCAGTACTGCACAGGTGTGATACTAATTATTACAGGACTAAAGTTAACTTTTCTCCTTAGGCTATACTGCAGTTTCTCCCCAAAACAACTTTTAGGACATGGTTTCATGGTACCTAGATCTCTGTGCGACAACAACTTGAGGAATTTCTGCTCTCACATTACTGCCCACCACTTATTTAAAGCAGGGCATTAAAAAGAAGTGAATCAACCCCTGCAAAAAAATAAAGATGGTGTTTTCTTTTTTGCTAAGATCAGTCTAGCTACCTGACCACTACTCAGGGGAGCTGTACTGGCACAGCTGAAAAAACAGCACAGATGTGGAATCTGGCTGGGGATGGGAAAAGGTGGGCACCTCTAAAGTGCTGACAGTGCTGATAGTACTGTGCCTTCCCACCTGGTACCAAGCAGCTGAGGAAAGTGCTCTGACTCACGATGCCACTCTTCCTGCGCTGGTGGGATTGCTATATTTAGGCAGTCCCTGTGTTTCAGTCCTTTCAGTCTAGTCCCCCAAATGCTAACAGAGGAAGCCAGCCAGGTAGTAAACAGTGATGGCCTCAAAGCACACAGCTGGTGGACAGCTGCTCCTTTTTAGCCTTGTGGAACATCGTGTCACCTACAGCAACATCTACCTGTGCTTCCCCAAGCTTGGGGTCTAGCTACCTGCCTGAGCCTTGCCTGCGTGCTGGAACGAGGGTAACCCATCGGTCTGGGAGGCAGTACAGTACCCTGAGGAGGGAGAAGCAGCAGGAAGTCACCAGCAGCAGTGTGTGTGCAACTGGGCAACCAGAGCTGTAGGAACACATCCACCCATATGACATTCAGATGCAGTATGTAAGAACCTGGGTGTGCCAGCAGTGATCACATAGAGCAGCTCTCACATGGAGGTGTGAGATGGTGGTGGAAGCAACAGAGGAGAGGAGCATAAGGTGGAGGAAGCTGTGTGGCATCCTTCTGTAATTGATCTGCTCCCAGGACCTGTTGTAATCACCAGCATGAGAAGAACTCACCAGCATGAGGAGAAAAGCTAGTCTTCCATGTCTCCCAACCACCCTCTGGCCTTGGGATCCCACCAAGATCTCCTGCAGCAGGAGAGCTAGCCTGTGCAAAGTCTCACTCAGCCTCATACACTACTCTGTCCTGTGATATTCCTTACCCTCACAGACTTTTTCAGCCAAGGAGAGAACCATTTTCCTAGAGTATGATGGGTGATATGTCTAACACTTCACACTATCAAGGAGGTCAAAATCACTGTCATATTCTAAACAGAGAACGGGAAGGGAGACAGGAAATGAGATGCCCTAAGGCTATGGAATGAATCAGTAGTAGAAACAAAATGAAAATTCAGAACTTCCTGTCTCTTTACTCATCTCCCTGAATACAGTTGATGATTAAGCTCATAAAAAGTTAGTGCAGTTGATGACCTCTACATCTCTGTCAGTTATTAGGGCCCCAGCACATTAAATGTAGAAAATAATAAAACAAAGACAATTTCAACAAACTGGGAAAAAACTAGAGAGCAAGGAATTTCTTTTGTGGCTAGAACATAACTGTTGGGTTCCCACAGTTCTTCTTCCAGTAAAGAAGGAAGCTTCTCTAGTTCTACCCCTATGGGTCCACCGAGAGTTGAAACTGGCTTAAGCCATAGCCACAACCAAGAGGAAATGCTGTGGTTACACTTCCTTCCCTCATACAGCTTCTGCCCCTCTCTCTTTTGTCAACACAACTGCCCAAGCAGGCACATGATGAAGCAGCCCATAGACCTGATCAACAGTAACATTAAAAGTTGTTTTCCTTTCATGGGCTAGCTTTGCTATGAGTCCTGGCTCACTGCACAGCTGTATGAATGCTTATGCTGACACAAGGGGTGAGGTGCCAGAGAACAGGAATAAATGGCCAGAGAAAGGGAGGCTCAGCACCCCTCTTTCAGGAATGCTGAAACTACTCAGGCAGCTGCAGCTCTTCTGTTCCCTCAACTGCTACAAGCACAACAAGCAGGGATGGGTGCAACTGTGCAATAAGCAGGGAGGGTGATGGAAATCAGTGCACAGGTCCCCAACTCTCTCCTGCTTTGTTCCCAAATGGATGGAGTTGACTCAGATTTTTTGATGCTTCTTCTCTTTTTGTCATTAGAGAACACCGTATGTGCTCTGTGTGTGGCATGACTATCCACAGGGCTGAAATTGCCTTTCCTTGCGTTTCATCTTCATTATGATTTTTGATGGCTGCCTCACTGTCTCCTCAGGGTGCTGGTTTCACTGCGAGGAAGAGTTAAACCAGACCACTCATCCTCTTTCCAGTGGTTTCAGATTTGATCTTTTAACCTTTAGACTTTCCAAAGTGGGTAAGTATACTGTGCTGAAGAGCATGATGAACATGTGAACAGAGTGGTTTTGGCCACAGCCAGAGAGGCTTCTTCCTCAAGAAAGCAAGCCTTTCATCCTGCTGCTTGTGTGGGAAGGAAAACGGAGGGGAGGTGGCATGGTGCTTCACCCTGGGAACTAGCAGGAACCTCTCCTGTGGCATTTACTGCTTTATGAAAACTATTGTTTTCCCTGAAGTTAGGGGATGCGTTACTTTTCAAGGATTCATAATCTTCTTGTTAGCACTTTTCCTTCTTCAGCGGTCTTCTGGTATAACACTAGAACACAACAAAGTACTAAACTCACTGCATTAAAACAAGCTCAGAGCAGAGAGGGGACACTATGGTGGAGCCACATCAGAGCTAGAATAGTGAAAATGTGTATTTGGGCTCAGATCCTCAGCTCTAAAAAACCTGTGCTGTACTTTTCAGGGGCACAAGAAAAGTGTTACATATACTGGGTTTGGAAAACTTTTGGTTCAGACTTTGGGCTTGAAAATCTTTCAGCATCCAGAAACACACAGCAACAGTCTCTAAGGTAGTATTAACATTACAGAAGGGGATTGTGGAGTTATAATAGACATGTTCCACAGAAATGTCTTAGTCATACTCAACAACAGTGAAAAAAGGAAGTATCAAGAGAAGACTAGTAATCAGGACATCACCATGACACTGCATGGTGAACCCATCACAAACATGATATGGAAATCCACTTCCTTGTCTTAAAAAAGAAGGCATTAGAAACAGAAATGGTTCAATGAAGGGCAAATATTGAATAGCTTCCATTCATGGTATCACTAAAAAGACCAGAATTTGCCAGCTGGCAAAAACTGATGGGAAACACAACATAACAGAAGTCTATAAAAAATTAATATAATGGAGAAATTGAATAGGAAATTATTCCAACACAAGAACCAGCAGGTTTTTTTTTTTTCTTTTGCAATCTAGCACATGTTGGTTCAAAGCCAATGAACAAAGGTGGTCTCCACATAACATGCTAGTTCAGCTCTGGAACTCTGAGCCAGAGGACACCGTAAGGGCCAGAAGCATGTATGAATCCACAAAGTAAATGGGCAATCTAATGGAAGGAAAAAATCATCAGAGAATAGGAAATGCAGTGACACCAAATGCTGCTAAAGAACACGCTGAGGTGTAGAGAACCAGCAGGATACCCCAGGGAAGTATCACTGGACGATTAAAGTATCCCTGTGATCTTCCTTCAACATTTAGCACTGGCTACACCTGCAGACAGGACGCTGCGGCAGACAGGCAATGGAGCTGACCTTCCAAGTCTTCTCTTATGCATAAAAAGGCTGAGTTAAATAAGCCACGTAATACAAACCAGGGTGATGACAATAAACCTTCGTGGAAATCCACTTTTCAAAACCTACTGCATCTCTAGACCTGATCTTACTCCTGTGTGCATGCACTCAGGTGGACCCAGTGTCAAACCCATTTGAAATAATTTGCCTTTTTCCAACTATAGGTTGCCGTACAGAGAAAAACAGTTTCCTGGCCTAGGCTGGAGTTTCCTTTCTTTGTATCTACACTTTAAGTGAAAATGATGCACACCATTAAACTGTTATGGTAATTTATGCTTACACTTTCTGCTCAACAGGTTTGCTTTGTTTCAAAAGTATGTTTCTGTGATAGTTATAGCTATGTATATGTAATTTTGTGGTTAAAGTAGAAGAGAGAGGAAAACCTTGGTTCCCACAGGAAATGTAACTCAACCTCTTGCAAGTAGGTAACATTTTTGCCATATCAGTGTGATAAAGAACTTCAGTGAGAAACAAACCCTGCCAAGGTTTACACCTGTGTGCAAATGCCTGATGTATCTAGCTTGAAAGAGGTTAATGAGATTTTTCCACGATTCAGATTCTGCTGGAGGATTCTTCTGGGTGGGAATGGGGCCTGAGACAGTTCGGTTAGAAATGATGTGATAAAACACCATGACAGTTGGGTCTGGTTCTGGGGGCTAGGATTTGACTCTCTTTCTGCAGAGGTCTCTGATGAGGCAGGAATATTTTTCCTGTAGGCCTGGGGTCTCGGGGCAGGGAGAAACTGACATTTTGTTGGTCATCTCACGGGGGATGGGAAGGGAAAATACTCCTACCCCATGGTCAATACCGGCCGCGACAGAACAACGCTGACTGTGCAGTCCCCCAGAGGGGCGGCGGGGGCTGGGGGGCGGCAGGACCCCTTCCCTGTCCTCGCCGCGGGGCAGAGGCAGCGTGGGCTGCCCGCAGCAGCCCGCCAGTGGCGGCCCTGCCGCAGATACGCGTGGGGCTCCCCGCCGGCAGGGCCCAGGCACTGCTGGGGCGGGGAAGGGGCCGCCCTCAGTCGCCCCTGCCCCGCAGGGCTATTGTTGGGCGGCGGGGCGGGCAGGGCTGTGGGGCCGGTTCTCTCCCCGCCCGCCCGCCCGCCCGCCCGCCCGCGCTCCCTCCCTCCGTCCCTCCGTCTCTCTCTCCCTGCGAGTTTACCCAGAAGTGCTCTGGTGCGGGCGCGTTTCCGCCGGTTTTTCCTGTTGGAGAAGGGAAGGGGGAGCTGTTTTCTCTCTCTCTCTTCGCTCTCAGTATATTTTGTATCCCTTTTCTCCTCCTCCTTCTCCTCCTCCTCCTCCTCCTCCTCCTCCTCCTCCTCCTCCCCGGCTATCTTTGTCTGGCTCGCAACACCCCGCTCCAGCCCCGCGCCCCTGCCCCGCCGCCGCCGGGACGCGCAGCCCGTGCCCGCCGGTGCCCGGCGCCGTTGGATGCGAGGGCAGCGCCGCGGGAAGGGCTGGGAGGCGGCGGGGGCTCCGCCGCGCCGCTGGGCGTGAGCCGCCCCCCCATGCGAGAGCGGGGCCGCGGCTGCCACTGCCGGCTCCCGGCGTGAGCGCCGCCGGCCGGGCTGGGCCGAGCCGAGCCGTGCCGTGCCATGCCCGGGCGCGGGGCGCATCGTGAGGCTGCCAGAGGCTGCCGGCCCCGGCGCCGCTCCTGCCGCCGCCGCCGCGACATGGTGTGAGCCCGCTGCCGCCGGGGACGCGCGGGCACCCACCAACCCACCCACTCAGCCACCGACCGGCCGGCCGGGATCCTCGGGAGGATCCAGCCCCGCAGTGCAACGCGGGAGGACAGACGGACAAACCGCAACACCCCCTCTCCTTCCTTCTTCCTTCCTTCACCTCCCTCTCCCCCCTCCTCCTCCCACCATCCATCTATCTATCCATCATCCCCCCCGCCAACCCCTCCCAATGCTGAAGAGTTTCAACCCGGCGGGGCTGGAGTGAAGAAGGGAAGGGCGGAAGGGAGGAGAGGAGAACAGCGGAGCGGAGCTTCGCGCAATTCACAGCTGCTCCAGGGAGGGGGGAGCGGCCTCGCTATTATTTAACAGAGAAGAAAAAAATACTAAAGGAAAAAAAAAAAGAAGAGACGGGAAAATGGCGAACGATTCTCCTGCAAAAAGTCTGGTGGATATCGACCTTTCCTCCCTGCGGGTGAGTGCCGGTGCCGGGGGCCGGGGCGGGGGCCCCCCAGGGCCGGCGCGCCCCTTGCCAGGGCTGCCGGTCCGGCGGGGGTGGGAGCGGCCGGTCTGGGCCTGGGGCCGGTGCCGGGGCGCGGGGGGCCCGCGGCCGCGTGGGGGGAGCCCTCCCGCGGGGGCGGGCGGGGGGAGCGCGGCCCTGGGCTGCTTTTCCTTTGTTTGCATGTATTGGCATGTGCGTGGAAAAGCAGGGCGCAACAGCTGCACGCCGCCAGCAGCCGGGCTCGCTGGCTGGGCTCTGCCAGCAGCCATCGCCTCACAAAAATGTAATAACCCCGCTTCTCTTCTCCCCCTTCTCCCCTCCCCCCCCGACCCCTTTGCCCCTTCCTCCTCCTAGGACCCCGCTGGGATTTTTGAGCTCGTGGAAGTGGTTGGCAATGGCACGTACGGGCAAGTTTACAAGGTTTGTGCAGAATTTTTTCTCCTTTTATTGTTGCCGATTTTCCAGAGGGTTCCCGGTGCCTGCGCCGGGCTGGGCACACGGCTGCAGGCGAGCCACCCGCTGTGGCAAACGGAACGGTGAGGGGTGGTAAAAGTGTTGTCCTTGTCATTGTTGCTGGCCGTGACAAGTTTGTCAGCCTCTTGGCTTCTGCTTTTTCAAAGGGGCACAAATTGCTCTCCTAAGTACCCATCCTGAAATGGTGAAATAGCTCTTTATTGTCCTTGTTCCTCCCTGTGCTCCCTCTAGAGAAATGACCAAACCAAGTGGACGCTGTCAGAATGTGGCCAGGTTATACAAATAGGTCCACAGGCTTATTCTAATTTGCTGCTGGAAATCCTCATGGAAGTTGCTGCTGCTGCAGTGACTTTAGACAAAGACATTGTCCTTAATTAAAATTGTCACCCGGTTTCCTTGTTGGAAAACCTTCAAAGTGCTGAAGCTACAGAGTTGGGGGCGAGTGCATCTGATCCCACTGGGCTGTGCTGTAATGGGGGGTGCAGAGTGACAGTAATAAGTGATTGAAGCAGGAAAAGCTTATTTTGTGAAAACCAGAATTCCCAGAATAACCTGTTTGACAAGTGTATGACTTTAGAAAATAGAAATCGGACAGTGCCCATGTGGGTGTGAAACTAGCCTACTTTTTTTTTTGTTTCTTTTTTCCACTTTAGTGTGCAGTCAGTGGAACAAACAAATCTTGAGATTGCATGACTGCAGTGAGTGTTAGCTACCAGAATGACTAATTATTCACACAGACTTAATACTTGGCTTAAACTGTAAAAATGCAAGATACATTTGGAGAGGGAAGGAGAGAGAACTGAAAGTAGCTGAGAATGCCTAGCTGTTTGTTTGGGTTTTTTAGTTGTTTTTTGTTGTTGTTGGTGTTTTTGTTTTGGTTTGGTTTTTTTGCTTATAAACAAGGCAGTGTAATTGGTGAGTTTCCCTGATGGCAAGATACTGCTGCTTGCAGCTCCAGTAACTAAATAAAGCACTTTGGTGCCTCTTCTGCAAATGAAACGCATGTCAGTATGTTTTGAGGGCGTGAACCTCAGCCTTCCTGATGGAGAAGTAGTCTGCCTGCGCAGTGTGTGAATTGCATTTTAAGACTTGAGGTGGAATAATCAGGCTGCTGCTGTTGGCATAGAGATGGAAAAAAGGATGTGGCTCGAAAAGTCAGAGGAGAGGAGGGAGATGAGTAAGAAGCTGCACTTTGACACAACTATGACCATTTAATTTTTTTCTGCCATTTTTTTTCTGAAAATTGAAATGACACAATTTAATTTTTTTCTGTAATCCTTTTGCTCCCAGAGCTTGCATCAGCTGAACCCTTTTTAAAAAAAAAAAAAAAAGTAGGGCGTGAATGTGTGACTTGAAACTCTCCTGTTAATTATTACAATTTGGTGCATTGTTTCTTGGCTTGATTGTTAATGCTTTGAGTTAATTGGCAAAGTTTTCCGTGGTTTAACAGTCTTGACAATAGAAATTTTAAATTTATTTTTCCTTAGGTACGCTAGAACTCTCCCAGAATAGTTAGCATTAGAAATTAAACTCAAAACATGCATTTATTGACTTGGAAGAGCTGAATGAAGACCTGATGTCTAAGGGCATTGCGTCGGTGTCGCTGATAACAGGGGGAGCAACAGGCACTCTCCTTGCTTGCTATAGAGTCTACCAGACAGTAGTGGATTGACAGTTGTTTAAGGTTGGGTTGGCACTGCTTCTTCTTCTTAGGCATTTGCCCACATTTATATACATAGACTGAAAATCTGGACACCTAACAGAGCCTTACATAAACAAAAAATACTAAACCAAAAGACTTCCTTGCTGTGATAAACATCCTTTGCAGGGCTAAGGGTTGGACTTGATGATCCTTGTGGGTCCCTTCCAACTCAGCACATTCTCTGATTCTGTGATCTTTCTTCTTAAAATAATGAAGTTATGTAAAAAAAATTAATTATTGCAATAGTATTTAACTTTTCTTGGCCACTTTTTTGTTAGGAAAAATGCTCCAGGAACACCCAAAGGTGAAACTCTGTGTGTACATTTTGAGGGCTTTCATAGGAACTGCTTAATTGAGGGAAAAATGAGGTTACGCTGCGTTTGCTTGTTGCTTTCCGCTTTCCTCCTACCCAGCAACCACTTCTTGAAATCCCTCTTCCTGGATGGTTTTATTTCCCTTTTAAGCGGTCTGTCATCCCCAAGGACTGGGGGGTGGGGTGTAGGTTGCCTTTGAGGAGCCGTGCTCCGAGATGTAGTTTGATGTACTTCCACATTCGAGTATAGGCATCAGCGATGATGTCACCCGGGAGCGGGATTGGCTGGCTACCTGCCACTGCGGGGAGGACACGGAGGGAGTGGGAGAGGGCATGACGTTATCTCTTTGTCTAGCTCATAAACCCGGCGATGATGCCGAAGGTCGTTTGCCTTGCTGGGGAGTCTGCTTTCCAGCAGCGGTGGGAAGGGGACTGCGCCGACCTGTTGAAAAGCAGAAAACAGCCCTGTTTTATTCCTCTTTGCCTTAACTGAGCTTGCTGGAAATAGCTGATCTCTCTAGCTAGTGATATTTCTGTAGCTAGTTCTAACTTAGCTTTTTATTTAGCTGTATATAGGTGTCTAGATGTATAAGCAAGGAGGAAATGTGAGGGCAGCACTTGGATATTTGGCACCTAAATACAAGTGGAGTTACTCCCTGTCACAGAGCAGTGTGAACCCTCCTGGGATTTTATGCCATTGAATGGGTTGGTTTATGCGAAGTGTACTGTGGGCCTGAGACCATAGCGGTGAGGTATTAAAAATACTAAGTTTTATTCTGCTGTGCCTAAATTGGGGTAATGAGTTTAAACTGAAAGAGAGCAGGTTTAGATTAGATATTGGGAAGAAATTCTTTACTGTGAGGGTGGTGAACCTGGGAACAGGTTGCCCAGAGAAGTTGTAGATGCCCCATGCTTACCAGTGCTCAAGGCCAGGCTGGAATTGGGCTTTGAGCAACCTGGTGTAGTGGAAGGTGTCTCTGCCTATGACAAAGGGGTTGGCACTACATGACCTTTAAGGTCTTTTCCAACCCAAACCATTGTGTGATCCCATGATTGTGAAGTCTGTAGAGTTTACATTATTTTCATCTTCGTAACCTTGCTTACACCTCTCCCATGTGAAGAAGTCTTGCGTTTCAAGAGGAACTTGTTACAAAATGGTGAACTGGGGGGGGGCAAAAAGAGCCTGAGGTTCCCCAGCCCTGGGTAGCTAAAAGAAAGGGGTGTTTTGAGGAAGCCTTTGCCGAGCGCAGGGCAAAGGGCAGCGGTGGGGGTGGCTCATTTGTCCTGCGGCCAAGCAGAGCTCCTCTACTGCTCCTCTGAAATCCCGGGCAATCAAAGTCCGCATGGAAGTTGTTTGCCCTTTTATAGTTGATGCAGACCCCGAGAACAATGGCGTGGAAGTTGCGTCGCTTAGATTAGTTAGAAAGCAAAGGGTTAAACGCTGCCAAGTACAGCCGGCAGCGTTCCCTCGGAGCCGAGGCAGGAAGGATCGGCCACAGAACCCCCTGGGTCGGCAGTCTTAAAACTTTTAAGGAGCCTCGCGCCTTTGCTGGCGTTGGGAGGGAGGAATTTCCCTTCAGTAGGTCGGAGTCAG